AAAGACCAAGACAGACTTTTAATTCATTTGAAAGCCTGATGCTTTCAAATGAATTAGGACCAATTCTGTTTACATTATACATGCTTCCCCTAGGCAGTATCATTAGAAGACATAGTATACATTTTTACTGCTATGCAGATGACACACAGCTCTATCTATCTATGAACCCAGATAACACACACAAATTAGTTAAACTGCAGGAATGTCTTAAAGACATAAAGACCTGGATGGGCGCACATATTAAACAAATATGTAAGACTGCTTTCTTCCATTTGCGCAACATCTCTAAAATTAGAAATATCCTACTACTGTAATCCATTATTATCAGAAGTCCTAAAAACTCACTGAAAAGCCTTCAGTTAATCCAAAATGCTGCAGCAAGAGTCCTGACAGGGACAAGAAAGAGAGAGCATATTTATCCTGTATCGACTTCCCTTCATTGGCTTCCTGTTAAATCCAGAATTGAATTCATTGTTTGTTGGGTTTTTCTCTGTATCTATTATTGTACCATCTACTGTACAATATAAAGCGCCTTGAGGCGACTGTTGTTGTGATTTGGCGCTATATAAGTAAAATTGAATTGAAGTCCAAACCAAGCATCAGAATGGGAAAGAAATGTGATTTAAATGACTTTGAACACGACAGTGAGTTCACTACCCTCACACAGCATCTACAGATTTAATCCAAAAGAGCACCTTTGGGTTGTGGTAGAACGGGATCATAGATGTGCAGCTGGCAAATCTGCAGCACCTGTGTGATCCTATCATGTTGATGTGAACCAAAGACTCTGACAAATGTTTCTAGATTCAAAAAATTGAAGCAGTTCTGAAGGCAAAAAGGAGCAATACAATCAAAAATATTTGTATTTGTTGGGTCTATTAAAAATATTTGAACAAATCTGCCTCCTAATGTGATCCCAGTGTTAGTCCTTTCAAAACTGAGTTTGCACTGAGTTAAACTATCTATACTTTAATTTTGCAGTTATACATTGTATGCATCAGTAGTTCATAATGAGAAAGCAAATGAGCCATAAGATCTAACACATTTACAAAAAGCTTCAATAAGATGTATTTTTGTGGCTTTCATATCTTGCTTCACCTTGTCTCTTACAAGCAGGCACTGATTTATATTCTGAATATAATCTGAATATATCAGTATTATGTGCTGTAATCAGAAACCAAGCTGACAGATTTATCTGCATCTATAGAGAAAATAACACTACTGTGAGTTTGGAGGAGCTTGAGATTATTTTTTCCCTGAGGAGGTACGAGAAATAAAAAGACTGAGCTGTTAGTTTTCACATCCGATTAGACCTGGAGCCCTTTTTTGTCTCCGATACCTTTCTTTGATGGAAACTCAACTTCATGTTCCACAGTACAAAAAGGTTGGAAACTCCTTATATATAAAATTACCCCTTGCTTAGAGGTTTAACAGCCTTGAAACTATGACTGATAAAAGTGTCCACAATGTAGTTCAATCTTCCTTTACAGTGATACCCATGTTGAGCAGTTAATGCTTAATTAGATCATGCTGATGAAATCATTTTAATGTTAAAGATTGTTCAGGTAATGAGTAAACTGGAAATGAATAAGACTATGTTTACTATTCATTCATTATTCATTTCCGATCATATAATTGAGCTTTTAAATATTTATTCCATCTAAAGAAGAACTGAGACTGAACTGTGGGTTAAGAGAATCGTTACACCACTACTGATGCTGTAAAGTCATATCCACTTTTTTTTTCTATTCTTTTAGTTGTAAATTGGAAAATTTGCTGAACTTCATGCCAGATACATGAGCTTTTCCCTTGAAAACAAAAAAAACATTGCACAATACATTTCTAAGCAATAAATTATAAAAAAAAAATTGCTGGATGAAGCAAATATGATACAAATTAAAACTTATATTAGCAAACTTACATTTATTTAATAAAATAAATTGTCAAAAGGTTCAATAAACAGTGAATTTTCCCAAAAAATTAATTCAAGGGTCAAAGTGATCGAATGCATTTGAAATAAAGCATATCCCACTCTTATGTGTTTATGCATTGTACATAAACAGCACATTTGCACATGGCAGGCTAATGCTAAAATGTAGATGGAAAATCAACCTTATAGTCTGTAATCGTACTGTGTTTACCTCCATACGATGTATTTCAACTTTCATCGTGTGGCTTTCTCCCTGCCCCACATCCATAGCTGAATGCATCTCTTTTACAAGCTGTGTCTTCTTCTCCCACAGCATGATTTGCCGCCTGTATGCCACACGTGCCAAAGAAAAAGAGAAAATACACACACATGCAGAACAAAGTACACTATTCCATTAAAAATCAAAGTGTTTCTCTGAGTATGTGATTCTTCCAAAAATAACTCTGCATATTTAATGAAGCCCTGCAAAATTTTACCTTCATAATATGTTAGAGAATATGTTTCGAGTTAGAGGCATTTGAGTTACATGGAGCTGGGTTGAAATTTGGCACTAGGGATGCCACGATTAGTCGACTATCAAAATCGCCGACAACTAATTTAATAGTCAATGCATTGTTTGAAGCTTTGTAAGATCCTGAAAGATGCATGAATAAGTAGTAGGACTTAAGAGTTGAGAGAGAGATTTAAGAGATTTAAGAGTTGATTAGCAAATCAACTCAATAATAAATAACTTGAATATGTTTAAGTCAGAAGAAACAAGGACAAAGAGAAAGTGACTGACTCAGCTTCCACCAGACTGTTGAGGAGCCTCTCCTTTTCCTCCTGCGTCTTCTCGACTTTCATCTGCATCTTAACGGCCTCCCTCTCTGCATCCTGGTCACATTGTTTTACATACAGTTATATATTAATATAAAACAGAAGAAAAGAAGAAAATATAAAATGACGAAACCCGCCTGTCATGCCTTAAGTCTGTGAATGAAATCTGTCTCCATCACGGCGTTCTCCTGCTGCAGAGCCTGGCTCAGTTGTCCTTTCTTGCTGAGCAGCATGTTGAGCTTCAGCTGATCACGCTTCAGCATCTTTGAGCTCTTCTCCAGCTCAGCCTCCTCGCGGTGCTCTGATTCTATCTGACCTGAAAGGGTTAGAGTTGGTGTGAGAATGAAGTGGAGATAGTAGCATACAGGTTGTGACTTGGACAGAGTATGCAGCACGTGCGTCTTGCATACTCTCGAAGTAGAGTTTCGTCTGTTGCCATCCTGTGTACTCCGCCTGCAGTTTGAGCAGCTCCTTGCTGCTGGCTTCTATCGTTTGGGTCAGTCCCATCAGAATCCCCTGTCGCTTCATCCAAAGCTGCTGGTCGCTCTTTACATTTGCTGCCAGCTCCTCAATCTGAGCTATTATTGACTGTATCTTGATGTGCAGAGGACCGAGGTCATCATGCTGCAAATGCAGGAAAAATAAATTAAAGCTGGCAGCCTCATTTTTGAAAACAATTCAAAATGACACTGAATTATTTTCATTCACTTTCTACTTTTAAAAGCAAAATTGATCAATTGAGAAGTTCGAACTTGGCTCAGGATTTCCTTCCATCCCGGATTTTAAAGGATGAGTTTGATGTAATTGGCGCTGAAACCACAGCACTGAAACGGCATTGCTGAGGGTTTTCAATGATCTTCTTTTAATTACTGACTCTTGCCCTGCCATTTTAATTTTATTGGATCTGTCTGCTGCTTTTGATATGGTAGACCATAAAATTATTTTAGAGAGACTGGAACATGTTATAGGCATCAAGGATTCTGCCCTTAATAGGTTAAAAAACTGATACATGCCTTTGTGACCTCCAGATTAGATTATTGTAACTCGCTCTACTCTGGACTCCAACTTGCTCACCTCCAACGATTACAGCTCGTACAGAATGCTGCGGCTCGTCTCCTAACCGGAACTAGAAAGTTTGTCTCTATTATTCCAGTGCTCTCTGACTTACATTGGCTGCTTATTAAATTTCGTATTGATTTTAAAGTTCTGCTGCTTACTTGCTTCCTCACACTCCTCAGTCTCCCTGGGAGAGTCTATGCCAGGGTCCGTCCGTTAGTCAAACCTTGGATACAGGAGGAACAATGCGGTTTTCGTGCTGGATCAGCTCTTTATCCTCTCGAGAATACTTGAGGATGCATGGGAGTTTGCCCAACCAGTCTGCATGTGTTTTGAGCATTCGACTGCGTCCCTCGAGGGGTCCTGTGGGCGGTGCTGGACAGACACCCCATAAACACCTATGGGGTGTCTGTCCCATTGCTACGGGTCATTCAGTCCTTATACAACCATTGCAAGAGCTTAGTCCGCATAGCAATAACAATAAGTCGTACTCGTTCCTGGTGGGTGATGGGCTCCGACAGAGCTGCCCTTTGTCACCGATTCTGTTCATAATTTTTATGGACAGAATTTCTAGGCGTAGCCAAGTGGCGGAAGGCTTTCACTTGGGTGGTCTCAGGATTTCATCTCTGCTTTTTGCAGATGATGTGGTTCTGTTGGCTTCATCGGGTGATGGCCTCCAGCTCATCTTGGAATGGTTCGCGGGGAGCGGGAGATCGACAGACCATTGGTGCAGCGGCTGAAGCGATACGCACGCTGTACCGGTCTGTTGTGGTGAAGAGAGAGCTGAGTGTAAAAGCAAAGCTCTCAATTTATCGGTTGATCTACGCCCCTACCCTCACGAGGTGAGGGGTAGTGACCGAAAGAACGAGATCGCGAATACAAGCGGCGGAAATGGGCTTCCTCCGAAGGGTGGCTGGCCTCTCCCTTAGAGATAGGGTGAGAAGTTCGGCATTCGAGAGGGGCTCAGAGTAGAGCCGCTGCTGCTCCACATCAAAAGGAGCCAGCTGAGGTGGTTTGGGCATCTGACAAGGATGCCTCCTGGGCGCCTCCTGAGTGAGGTTTTCCAGGCATGTCCCACGGGGAGGAGGTCCGGGGGCAGACCCAGGACACGCTGGAGATATTATATCTCTCGGCTGGCCTGGGAACGCCTTGGTGTTCCCCCGGACAAGCTGGAGGAGGTGGCTGGGGAGAGGGAGGTCTGGGTTTCTCTGCTTGGGCTGCTGCCCTCGTGACCCGGCTCCGGATAAGTGGAAGAAAATGGATGGATGCTTACTTTGAAATGCCTAAACAACCTTGCCCATGACTATCTCATCGACCTTCTCAGTCTCTATGCTCTCAGCCATTCTTTACGACTCGCTAATTCTCACCACTCCTTAATTGCTGTATCGCTACTCATTTCTCTGGATAATCATGATTTCTCCATATCTCTACTTACTAATGTGTTTGTTTGTTTCTCTATTTTCTCTATTTGACCTTGTTTTAATCACTTACTGTTCAGAGCAATTATTTACAGTTACTCCTTACTGTGAAGCACTTTGGTGTACCCCCTGGTTTTCAACGTGCTACATATATAAAATTGTATTGTATTCTATTGTATTTATTTATGATCTTAGTAACAAGAAACCACAGCTTCCCCACAGCCACTCACCCCAGTGGTGGCCGCTATTTGAGAAATCTTCTTGTTGTATCCGATGATCGTTGACTGCTTGTGCTCGATGACTCTAACGGATGAAGTAAGCTTAGCCTCAATGGCTGTGATTAACTTGTTGTAATTTGTGATCTCTTGATCAAGGGCCTCCTGAGTCAGGGCCAGGCTGTCCACTCGCTGGCTGACCAGCTGGCTCTCCAGCTTCACCGCCAACACCTCCTCCTCTGACAGCTTCAACTGGTACATCTAAAGGGGGGAAAGGAATGACGAGAAGCACATAAATCTGATATCTTCACATATTTGTTTTATTCTCTACACATTTTACATTAATTATTTGCCGCACTAGCTTATTTTCTTTTTTACATTTTTGAATCTTCCCACACTTATTGTTCAATATCTGGTTTCAGGATACGTGTGTGTTTGTATTTATATGCTAGAACAGTTTAGAATAGAATAACACTGATTTATTTGTTTATTTCTATATTGTACATATTTTACAAGATATTCTAAAAGCTCATTTTCATCTTTAGTAGATGATGTACAGAAAAGAAAAAAAGAAAAAAAGCTAGGAATCAAAATGAAAAATGTAATCCTGTCACGTAAAAGCATGAACAAAAAACGTTAAAATTAGTAAAATAATAATACTGAAATTGAATAAAGCTAATTTGATAATATATGAATAAATTGCATTCAAATCTCCATGGCTCTATAGTGTACATTAACCTTTATACATGTACTTATTTAACACCTGTTACTACTACTGTTGTTATTTGCATTATTCTGTCATTTCAAACCAAAAGACTTCATCAGTTGCTTGTGAATTCTCTCTCTTTCTTTATCTATAATGTGATACTGCTGGAGTGTGTCTTTCACTAAAACAAGCCCAAGCCAAAGACCTGGACAATATGTAGGGCAGCGGTCCCCAACCCCCGGGCCTCGGACCGGTACCGGTCCATGAGTCGTTTGGTACCGGGCCGCAAGAGTTGAGGCTCAGGTGTGAAATGTATAGTTTTCAGGGTTTTTATCGGTTTTCAGCGTTATTTTGTTATCGTTTTTATCGTTTACTCGGTTTTCCTTGGTCTTTTCACGTGTGTTATGAATAAATTTTCTTTTTTTCGGTACCGGTACTAGTTTTATTTTGTTGTATTTAGGCCGGTCCATGAAAATATTGTCGGGCATAAACCGGTCCGTGGCGCAAAAAAGGTTGGGGACCGCTGATGTAGGGTATAGTGAATAACACTCTATAATAATACTAGAGATATCAAAGAAAGGGGATTTAGTGTGAATGGTCGGAAGAGTGTTATCATAAGAGTGTTATGACAGTCTAAGCATTTTCAATACTCTCCTGCTTTTAGTTACCTTCTCTTTTTTGAGTCTGGATATCTTCTCGGTGAGCAGTTGGGAGTACTTGGCAGCGTTGTTGTGGAGGAGCTTATGCTGCATGGAGCTCATGATGTTGTTTTCCAGCTCCAGCCGTGCAGAACTCTCTTTCTCCAGCTGCTTACTCTGATCGTTCACTTGAGCCTGGAGTGACCCGAATTCCTGGAGAAATTAAGGGTGAGATTAAAGAAAGACAAAAACAAAATCAGGCAGTGTAATGTTTCTAACCTTGTACCGCGACTGGTCTCAGGACAAACACTGACCTTTGAGAGTCTAGCGAGGGTTCGCTCCGTCTCCTGCAGAGTGAGGAGGAATGTGCTGTAGTGGGCCTGCAGGGCCTCTTGCTGAGCCTGCTTGTCACTGATGAGCTTTCTGGTAGTGGTGCAGTCCATTTGAGACCAATTCAGCTGCAGTGTCAGTATCTCATTTTGCTCCTGCTCTGCATTGATGGACTTCTTGTAGCCATCAATGTCCTTGTCCAGCAAGATCACCTGGTGCTTGGTTTCACTGAGAAGAACAGAAAAAATGAATGGCTGCTCACTTTTTGCTTTGTTACTTTTGAATAAAAAATCAAATAAGGGTTAATATTATCATTGAGTGTTCTAAAAATACCTTTTTATAGACATCTGTCATTTTCTATAGACATGTTTAGAGCACTGTCATCATTTGTTACATGTACACTTGAAGCGCATTAGCACCTTTAATGTTTACTCAGTAGGACATGAATCAGAAACAGCTTCCCACATCCATCAGTCTCACCGGATGACTTCCTGCATCGCACCGAAGGCCTCGTCTCGTCTCCTCAACCCCATGAGGCAGCTGCTCCACTGCTGCAGCAGCTGTTTACGGGCCACCGACAGTGACTCCATCTCCATCTCAGCCTGCACAAAGATGTAAAAATGAATGACTGATGTTGTTTGACGACTGCCATAATCAGAGAATTCTTATTTCGTTCACGAGTTACATGAACGAGACAAAAACATAACCTGTTTGTCTTTTTCTCTCATCCAAATATTTTTGTGTTGACTGTATCCATTTACATCATTAAATCAACTAGTAAGATACACCCACCAGCAGAGATG